CGAGGTCCGCGGGTGACGGACCGCGGAGGACCAGAACCACCTGCTGGAGGAGCCGCGCTACGGGGGCCGCGCAGGGTCCAAACGGCTCGCGTAAGCTGCGGCTCCGCGGTCCTCGGGGTCGCGGAGCCGGGAAGGTGGGAGGCCTTCCGGGACAGAGGCTTAGGCCGCCGCCCGCGCCGCGCGGCGGGATCACTGGGCTCTCCCAGGCCCGGGGGCGGAGGAGGACCTCCAGGCGGGGAAGGAGGGCGGTGCCGCCCGCGAGATGCAAACAGCCGGGCGGCCGCCGACTCCCTAGGGAAAAGGGAGCTGCTGGGCTCTGCCGCCCCGGACACCTATCGGTCTGGGTTTAGTTTTGCAAAGTTAAGTGGCTTACCCAATCCCGGCAGCCGGCGGCAGAGCGGAACGGCGCTGCCCTGCCCGACGCTGTCCCACACAAGTCACTTCCACGGGGAGGATGCTGCGGGGACACCGGGAGGCGTTGAAGTTATCCTCGCCCTCACGGAGAAAGGAGCGAAGCGGAGCTGAAAGTGTAGAAAACGCCGGAGCACCGTAGGGGCCTGGTGGGAAAATACAGAGCACTGCACAGGAGGACGGCGTGCATCCGTGGGGCAGCGCAAGGGAGGAGGCTTCTGGAACTGGCCTGGGAAGAGGTGGAGTTTTGCAGGAAGACCTTGGGGCCTCAGATGGAGGCCTTTGGACGCTGCGTTCCAGTGACTGAAGACGCCAGAGGCTGGGGCATGGTGACGAGTGGCAGAGACAACTGGAAATGGGGCACAACTTCCAAATGGGAGGATTTGTATTTAAGGCAGCGTTTCGTTTTCTAGGTTTAGAAGTTGGGAGGAAGAAAAGGCGTTTGCTTTCTAAGTACTGTCTGAAGGAAAGCAGACGTTAGCGATGGAAAACTGACAGCCCCATGTAGACCAGGTAATGAGGAGCTAGGACGGCTATTGAGGTGTGGTGACACACACCTGTGACCCCAACACTGGGAGTCCGAGGTCGGTGGTTACACAGAAAGATTGATCTGGGCGTAAGGGACAAGAGGAGGGGGTAAGACTGAGATGGGGGAGGGGCAGAGAGAATTTTAAATGATGTGTAGTACACTTTACAGGATTTGACAGCTTGATTGGTTAGGGAGAGAGAAACAGGGGCGTGAGACTGGATGGTCTTAAGAGGGACAATACTTAGAAGAGAAAGGAGACAGTTATTCTAAAAAATTACTTTTAAAAATGTATTTATTCTACATCCAGGCCGAAGTTTCCCCTCGCTCCTCTCCTCCCAGTCCTTTCCCCCACCCCGTGTTCCCACCCATTGTTTTTGGTTTTTTACTCTTTTGGGGGGCCCGCCACAAAGCTCCCAAATAAATCACACACAAAGGCTTATTCTTAATTATGAATGACCGGCCTTAGCTTGGCTTATTTCTTGCCAGCTTTCCTTAACTTTAAATGATCCCATCTACCTTTTGCCTCTGGGCTTTTCCCGTTCTCTTACTTCTGTAAATCCTACTCTTACTCCATGGCTTTCTATGTAACTGGGTGGCTGGCCCCTGGAGTCCTCTTTCTCCTTCTCTGGCTACTTCCTTCTCCTCCTCCCAGATTTCTCTTTTTATTTATTCTCTCTGCCTGCCAGCCCTGCCTGATTATCTTTCCTGCCTCATCATTGGCCATTCAGCTCTTAATTGGACCATTAGGTGTTTTAGACAGGCAAAGTAACACAGCTTCACAGAATTAAACAAATGCAACATAAACAAAAGTAACTCACCTTAAAATAGTATTCTACAACACACCCCCTAATCCACTCCTCTTCTGTTTTTTGTTTAGGAAAGGGCAGATCTCCCATGGATATCAACAAAACATGGCATATCAAGTTGCCTTAAGACTAAGCACCTCCCCATGTGTTAAGGCTGGGCAGGGAGACCCAGTGTTCAGAGTAGATCTCAAAAGCCAGTGGAAGAGTCAGAGATGGCCCCTGCAGGCGCTGCTTTTTTTTTTTTTTTTCAAATGTTCATTGGTGTTTCGCCTGCATGTATGTCTGTGTGAGGGTGCCAGATCCCCTGGAACTGGAGTTACAGCCTGGTGTGAGCTGCCATGTGGGTGCTGGGAGTTGAACCCGGGTCCCCTGGAAGAGCAGACAGTACTCTCAACTACTGAGCCATCTCTCCAGCCCCCAGAAAGCTACTTTTCAGGAAAAGTTGATCAGTTTAGACTTGGACATTTGGAAGGGCTGAAGGCAGCCAAACAGACGTGGTCACTAAGAAGTTAGAAAAGTTCGAAACAGGTGGGAGAACTGAACAGGAATGCGCGGGCTGAGGGCAGAGTGCAGTGGGTGGTTTGCATTCTGTCCCCAGAGTGAGTGTCAAATCTCCTCTGGTAGCATCATCTTGTCCCAGTGGTTAGCAGACGGGAACAGGGGGATCCCTGGGTCTTGCTAGCCAACCTGTCTCAAAAAAAACAAAAATAAAAAAAAAAACCCAAGGTGGATAGCACTTGAGGAATGATAATCAAAGTTGTCCCTCTAGCCTCCACATATACATGCACACACAATCCACATGCATGTATATGAGCACCCCCCACATCTACACACATGCACACACAATCCACATGCATGTATATGAGCACCCCCACATCTACACACATGCACACACAATCCACATGCATGTATATGAACACCCCCCACATCTACACACATGCACACACAATCCACATGCATGTATATGAGCACCCCCCACATCTACACACATGCACACACAATCCACCTGCACGTATATGAACACCCCCACATCTACACACATGTACACACAATCCACCTGCATGTATATGAGCACCCCCCAAACATGTACACACAGTCCACTTGCCCCCACTCACATACACACAGAAATAGATTGGAAACTCCTCAGCCTAGCATTGTATTCCTGTGAGAGAAGTCTGTAGACGCAGTCCTCAAATACATTGTTAGTCTTGCTATCTCAAGTATGGCCACATCTGTGTCATCAGCAAGTCTGTTAGAAATATGGGGATCTCAGGCCCCAACACAAACCTGCCAACTGACACCCTAGGCTTCAAAGACATTGCAGGAGGTGATCCACATGGGTGTTTGGGAAGCTGGGTCATAGGTGAGAAAACCCAGCAGCAGAAGAGGAAGAGGGGCACTGAGCAGGGCCAGAACACCAAAGCAGGGGGACTTGAGTCTCCTGAAGCTGGGCATGAGGAGTGCGGGTCAGTGCCATGAACTGTAGAGATTGAGAAGGACGAGGGACAGTGATGCCATTAGCACTGTGCCAGCCTGTTCTCAATGGAAGCTTAGAGACTTACTTTCTGACTGTGGAGTGCCTAGAGACAGTCCTTGCTGTGTGCACACACTTGGGACATGTTGAAGTAAGCGGGTGGACTGATAGATGGAGAACAGAACGTCTCTAAGGGTTGCTTCTGCTTTCTCAGCAGAGTGAGGAGCAAGGTCATCTTTTGTCTGTTACAGTTCACGTCCCTGGACGCAGACTGCTTTTCTCAGCCTACAGTGGGACTTGCCGGAGTCTTTTCTTGAGCAGTGTGCTTCCTCCAGGTGTTTCCTCCTTCTGCCAACTGGACCCAGGACACAGCAGCTCGGCTTCGATTATCTAGATTCTTGGAAGCACCTGGAAGTGGCAGAGCCACAAGAAAGCGCCTGGAGGAAGAGGAGCTTCTGATGCTTGACCCAGAACACCCAATTATGTGATGATGTGTAGACTTGGATTGAACTAGAGCCTTAAGACTTTGGGGTTCATTTGTTGTAGCCATTTGGCCTCCTCTACTTAACATGGCATTAACTAAAACTCATAAAGGAAGAATAGAACTTGGCATGTCTGAGTGAAGAAAAGTGATCAGATGGAACTTTCCAGACACCACTAAACCCTTCAGTGAAGGGCCAAGAAATTAGAGGGGACTAGTCAACCAGTCTTACATTCTCCAGGCCATGTGAGGCACTGAGGAGATAGTGTGGGCACTATGCGGGACAGGGAGCTGGCCAGGAAGTATAATAGGGGAGAAGGACAAGGTATTTGAAGGTAGAAACAAAGGAAGCATTATTATGTCAAGCATGGTAGGAGAGAAGCTTAAGAAGAGGGTAAGGAGTAGCTAGAAATATGATAAGGTTGGGGCTGGAAATGTGGCTCGGTGGTTAAGAGCACTGGCTGCTGTCCAAAGGACCTGGGTGGGTCTGATTCCCAGCACCCACATGGTGGATCACAAACATCTGTAACTCCAATCCCAGGAGATATTCTGGCCTCCACAGGCACCAGGCATGAATGTGGTGCATAGATATATATGCAGGCAAACATCTGAAAACATTAAAGAAAATATGGTAAACTTTCTAAACTGGAGCATTTGACCAGGTTAAGTAATTTCTAGAATTCAGGTGCTGTGGAACAATCTTTGTACACTGTATGTATTTCTCTCATTGTTAATAAAAAGCTGATTGGATGATGGCTAGGCAGGATTTGGGGCAGAGAGAATGCTGGGAAGGAGGGCGGAGTGGGGGGAGTCGCCAGACAGACAGGAAGCAGGACATGCAGGAAAGGTAAAGCTCACAAGCCCCAGGACAGCACACATATTAATAGAAATGGGTTAATTTAAGTTGTAAGAGCTAGTTAGTAATAAGCCTGAGCTATGGGCTGAGCATTTATAATTAATAATGAGTATCTGAGTGGTTATTTGGGAAGTGGCTGGCGGAGCAGAGCTGATTGTGTTCCCAATGAAAGACTCCACCTACATTTGGGTCATTCCTATGGGGAATGACCTAAAACAGCACAAGTGAAAAGTAGAATCTGCACATTAAAATTAAAAGGAGATCTGTGTAGCAAATCTTGCTTTGTACCACCAACTTCCAAATGATGACATGGAGACTTCTTATTAATTACGAAAAACTCAGCCTTTAGCTTAGGCTTGTTCCCAACTAACTCTTATAACTTAAACTAACCCGCTTCTATTAACCTATATTTTTCTACATGTCTTTTTTACCTCTCCTCCATTCTGTATGTCCAAATTGATCTGGATCTCACTGGTGTCTCCCCACTTCTTCTTCCCAGAGTCTTTTTTCTCCTTGGAAATCCTGCCTTGTCAGAAGTGATTGTCATGAGCTATTGCAGGCCATGATGTAATTACAGCTTATAGCAATTGATAATTCAGATATCAACCCACCAGAGGAATGATTCTCTGATGGGACACCTGCTATGGGATGTTCTGTATGTTAAATGTGTTGCTCTGATTGGTTAATAAATAGAACACTGATTGGCCAGTAGCCAGGCAGGAAGTATAGGCGGGACTAACAGAGAGGAGAATTCTGGGAGGAGGACGGCTCAGAGAGAGACACTGCCAGCTGTCATGATGAGAAGCAGATGTTAAGATACCGGTAAGCCACGAGCCATGTGGCAACTTATAGATTAATAGAAATGGGTTAATTTAAGATATAAGAACAGTTAACAAGAAGCCTGCCTCGGCCATACAGTTTGTAAATAATATAAGTGTCTGTGTGTTTATTTTATTTTATAAGTGGGCTGTCGGGCTGCCGGAGCTTGGCGGGACCCGGAGAGAAAACTCCAGCTACAGACACCCTGTCAACAAGGCTTACGGATCACTGACTCTGAAAACTGTTGCTTGTAACTAGAGTTTTCCTGCCTGGTCCACAGTCAGGACAAATCTCTGTCACCTGCCAGTCCCACAGCCACTCAGACCCAACCAAGTAAACACAGAGACTTATATTGCTTACAAACTGTATGGCCATGGCAGGCTTCTTGCTAACTGTTCTTATAGCTTAAATTAATCCATTCCCATAAATCTATACCTTGCCACGTAGCTCGTGGCTTACCGGCGTCTTCACATGCTGCTTGTCATGGCGGCAGCTGGCAGTGACTCCTTCTGTCTTCCTGTTCTTTTTTTTCTCCTCTCTGTTAGTCCCGCCTATACTTCCTGCCTAGCCACTGGCCAATCAGTGTTTTATTTATTGACCAATCAGAGTAATTTGACATACAGACCATCCCACAGCAGTTGCTTTCATCTGTAATTTCACTTGCACAATCACAGCTATGATATCTCCCCATTACCATGCATTTTCATGTAATGTGTACATGTAATCTCATGATTACATCTCAATCTTTCGGCCACACATATTTGTGGATGGTCAGGAAGATGACTTCTCATTTAGCTGTGTAATTTTGATGAATAGAAACATACTAAAATATTCTTCATAACTAGATCTATTGCTCCCTATGACTTAGAGGTCTGCTCTCCATCCTTGGCTTACTGACAGGGCAAACTGTCCAAATGAAGTGTCCTTGGGATAGATTACAGGCATAAGTTTCACAGATTTTATTCATGAGTGAAATTGCAGGTGTTTGGCCTTATTGCATCAAAACCATTCAAAAGATTTATGGTGAACTAGTGTGATAGTGCAGGTGCCTTGGTATATCTCAGTCCTTCAAGGGATCTACAGCACCTATGTTGCCCTAAGCTTCCTCCACCAGCTCTGCCTTATCAACACCTCCCCACTCTGATTCAAAAAGCAATTAACACTTTGTATTTATTTCTACACTAGTTTTTAATGCAAGATTTTAGGCTCAATAGACTATGTTTAGGCCCTGCGATTCAGATGATTAACAGAAAAAGGCTGTTAACTGATTAACCATACCTGGATATTACTAATCACACTTAAGAAATATGATAGAGTGCAGGTATTCTTCACCTCTTCCTTAGATCTCTCATTGGTTTAGTTTTTTCCATTGTAACCCTTGTAGCTATCCCTTTAAGAGATAAGCCAGAACTTTTTACGGCTGCAGCTATGACCAGCCATCAATTAAGCTGACAAAGCTTTTGCCTAGTGTGACTCTTATTGTATCTACAAAGAATGCTTGTCCCTGAGAGTTTGCCTTGTAGCTTTTTTTTTTATTAGTAACAAGTTACTAATGAATGGATATAGATATGCTTGGGAATTTATAACAGAGAACAATAAAGAGACATGACTGGAACAGCACATGTGTGAGTTTTTCCATAAACCCTCAGATTAGAAATATCCTAATTTTCTTTCCCTTTGTTGTGGCTTCTGATCCTGAGACAGATCTGTAGTTATTAGTAATATCAGGGTGCAGGGGATGGGCATGAGGAGTAATATATATATATGAAGTATGCTATATTTCAGATCCTAAGGTGCTCCCCAAAGGAAGGTCTACCTGATCAAGGTTTGGTGCCCAGAATCTTTGGGGGTATTTTTAAAGATATAGTCCACTCTGGCCCCACTTGAGTCCCCTTTTCCTTCCTGGCTGTGAAGTAAGCAGTTTAGGGGTTTGCTCCCTGCCATGATGTTCACCACAGGCCCTGAAGCAACAGTCAGTCATGCACTAGAGCACACAAAACTGTGAGCTAGTGCTAATCTTTTCTCTTTAAAAGCTGTCAGGTATTTTATAATAGCTGACTAACAGTGAAGGACCAGAGGATCCAAGGTCCTTTGAATAGAGGAAAGGGCCAAAGAGTCAAGAGGCAGTATCTTGTATAATATTAGAGGGACCAGCCTTAATATTATACATCCCAGGGGCTCAGGAGAGAGAACTACTAACGATGAGGACTATTTTCAGGAAATAGAATCTCAGCACACCAAGCTCTATAGTCCACTTGCTTTAATTCCTCTGGCATAACATCCTTGATACACAGCTTCAGTTCTGTTCTCATGTCTAGCTCCTTTCTTGCCTGATTTCTCTATATTTATCTACTGTCCCCCCTAGGTTCTATCTTAATTCCTTCATCTAGTTCTGTCCCTTCTAGGTTCTCATCTATCTAGTTCTTTCCCCTATCAGCTCCTCTCCCATCTCCTCTCTCATCTGGCTCTTCCTCATCTTGTTCTTCCCCATCTGGCTCTTCCTCATCTTCCATCTCCTTCTCTTTTAGCCCTTCAATCTAGTTCTTCCCCATCTCAGTTCGTTCCTCTCAAGTTCTTACCCATCTAGTTCTTCCATTCTCTTTTCTCTTCTCTCCGTGCCCTGGAAGTCTCGGTATATAAAGGGAGGGTCTGAGCTAAATTGTGTAAAGCTATTTATTACTTAACGTCCACCTCTCCTAGGCGGTGTCTCCTTGTGGAATTTACCTTAAGTCAGGAGACTTGCATGTGGGCTGTTATCATTGTTAGTCCACCTGGGACTAACAATGGGCACCCACCTGAGTGGTGTTTCCTGTAGTCCTTGAAAGTGGCTAAGGGAGATAATCTGATTCCAGAGAAAGCCTTTCCTGAGGCTGTTCTCCAAATACCTGGAATGTGTATGTCCAGAGAGTGATCAGCCTACACTGTTAGTCCTTCTTAGGGGAAAGTCAACTGGGAAAACTATGAAGGCACACATGATTTTCATAACAGAATACAGCTGATATATAACAAGCCAAGTAACACCAAAAACTCCTTGGGATTTGGCTTCCTCTGGAGGAATTCCCTGATCCCTCCAGGTAAGTGACTTTGCCATAACCAGCTGAGTTCTTATGATATATTCCTGCAGCCTGCAGCAGCAGTAAGAGTTTTGAAAGGATTATATGTAGTCATAACAGGCCCCCAAATCATGACACAGAGACTTATGAAAGCTCAGCCTATAGCTTAGGCTTATTTCTAACTACCTCTTATAACTTAAATTAACCTATTTCTATTTGTCTGTGTATTGCCACATGGCTCATTGCTGTGGAATAATCCTCTTGTACAATGTAAAGATTTGCCACTCGAATTGGTTTAAGAAAACAACTGATTGGCCAGTAGCCAGGAAGGAAGTATAGGTGGGCCTACCAAACTAAGAATGCTGGGAAGAGGAAGGCATAATCAGGAGTCACCAGCCAGATGCAGAGGAAGCAAGAAGAAAATGCTGCACTGAGAAAAGGAACCAAGCCATGTGGCTAAACATAGATAAGAATTATGGGTTAATTTAAGTATAAGAGCTAGTTAGTAATAAGCCTGAGCTACCAGCAGAGCATTTATAATTAATAAAAGCCTTTGAGTGATTATTTAGAAGCAGCTGTGAAGTGGAACAAGACAGAGAAAAGCCTCTGTCTACAGCTCATGGCTTTTACCTCTCCTCTTGCATGTCTTGTATCCTCTATGTCTGGCTAGCACTTCCTCCTTTCTTCTCAGTTTTTCTCTGTTCAGAAATCCCGCCTATACCTCCTGCTTAGCTAATGGCTATTCAGCTCCTTATTAAACCAATCACAGTGACACATCTTCACACAGTGTAAAGGAATATTCCACAACAAATATCCATGTTTATTGTTTATATGTAGCCATGCATTGTCTTGGTTATCCACATGGTTTATTGTTCATATGTAGCCATGTGTTGTCTTGGTTAACAACACACCACATACAGCAGTGGTCTCAGAGATCGAAGTGCATGATGCTGTACAGCTCCATTCCAGTACTTGGGAGGTGGAAGCAGGAAGGTCATGAGTTTGCTGCCAGCCTAAGCTACAAAGAGAGTTTGAGGCAAACAAAGCCCATCTCAAAGAAATAAAAACACAGCCTAACAACAACCAACCAAGATAATGTTGCCTCAGGACATCTGGCTGTGTTTGTTTGTGTAAGTGGCCCTCTGTGCTATACAATGACTAAATCACCATACGCTCCCAGGACATATCCCTGTCATTACACAATGTCAGACTCTCCATACATATGTGGGAAGAGAGCTCCTTTTTGTTCCCTCAGACCCCCCATGTAAAGGCTTGGTTGCCATTCAGTGCTACTGGTAGGTGATTGAAGCTTAAAGAGGGGGGGCTGGTGGGAGGTCTTTAGGTCAGTGGGGGCAGCTCCTGAAGGGGGTGGCAGAACCCACACCTTCCCTTATGTAGTCCCCAGCAGTTAAAGGAGTGGTCTCACTTGCCGAGTGCTCCTGTCCCAATGCAGTGGGGCCAGCCAGTCACAGGTGGGCCCTCCAAGACTGAGCCGAAATTACTCTTCTCCTGTAAGTTGTCTACGTTAGGTGCTTACCACCATAGTGCAAAGCTGATTAGCGTGCTTTGGGAACCAGCTACTCCAAGTAAAGAGATCTCTAAATATGAAGTTTGGCCCCCTATAGTGAGGAGGAGTGTGACTTAAAAAAAAAAAAAACTCTTACAGTGAAGCTATCCACATTATCAGAGACCTCATTAGATTTCTATCACTGGCTCTCAAATGTAGGTAATATTTTAGGATATGCATGTATTTGGAGAAGCCCCTTGCATGAAAGACCAGCCTAAATGATCAAACAAGAAATTTTAAAAGAATAAGATGTGTGTGTGTGTGTGGGGGGGTGTTAATAAAACCAGTGCACAGAGCATAAAAATGTATCAGTTTTTTTTTAATTAAAAAAATTTAAAAATTAAAAAACAAAAATAGTTCATGTATATGGGTGTTTTGCTTGCTTCTGTGTTTGTGTGCCATGTGCATGCAGTGCCCTCAGAGCCCAGAACAGTGCACTGGCTCCCCAGAACTGGAGTTAGAGATGGTTTTGAGCCACCCTGTGGCTGCTGGGAGTTGAAGCCTGGTCTTCTGGTAGGGCAGTATACCTAGTTAAGCTTGCTGTTGCTGTGATGAAACACCATAACCAAAGCAACTTGGGAAGGAAAGGGTTTATTGGGCTCACACTTCCATGTTGCTGGTCATCATTGAAGGAAGTCAGGACAGGAACTCAAGCAGGGCAGGATCCTGGAGGCAGGAGCTGAAGCAGAGGCCATGGAGGATGCTGCTTACTGGCTTGCTCCCCATGGCTTGCCCACCTTCTTACAGAACCCAGGACCAGCAGCCCAGGGATGGCACCACCTACAATATGCTGGGCCCTCCCCCATCAATCACTAAGAAAACGCCCTACAGGCTTGCCGACAGCCCATACTAGAGCATGATTATAGCTGTGTCGAGGTGCCATAAACTGCCAGCACAAGCAGCAAGTGCTCTTAACTGCTGAGCCATCTCTCCAGCCCCAAATCTTAAATATTCGGATTCCCACCTGCTTTATCCAGGAAATTGCCAGAGAGAAGCACTCTATCCAAATAAGGGCACAGATCAAGAAACATAAAAACATAAGCATCTAATGAATAGAAGCTGAAGAGAGAGGGGAACAAAATTCCCTTAGCCTAGGTAAAGGTGCAGGGGGCTCCGGGAAGAAGACTCTGCCAGGGTTAGAGACCAACTGGCCCTTCCCAAAGCTCCAGAGAACCCATCTCCAGTGTGTTTGAACCATATGATGAAACTTTCCAACTCTGGTGGGACATACAGCTGAAATGCTGATAGGTAGAGAGAAAACTAGGCAAACTGAAAAGGAGGGGTTTATAAATGCTAAGGAAACATGTTTCTAGCAAATTGCCTGTTCCAGGATTCCGCTTTCATCAGTTAGCCAATGAAGCCGAGGCAGAAGCTGTACCACGTCATGGTTCCCTGCCTGCTCTGCCACAGACACTGCTCAGTATGGTGGTATTGTGTTCCCCAATATATTGTGCACCCTAATAAATTTATCTGGGATCAGAGAACAGAACAGCCACTAGACAGACATAGAGGCCAGGAAATGGAGGCACTCACACCTTTAATCCTAGCATTCTGGAGGCAGAGATCCATTCGGATCTCTGTGAGTTCAGAGCCACACTGGAAACAGCCAGGCATGGTGACTCACGCCTTTAATCCCAGAAAGTGATGGCAGGAAGCAGAAAGGTATATAAGGCGTGAGGACCAGGAACTAGAGCTGGTTAAGCTTTTAGGCTTTTAGCAGCAGTTCAGCTGAGATTCATTCCAGATAAGGACTCAGAGACTTCCAGTCTGAGGAAACAAGACCAGCTGAGGGATTGGCCAGGTGAGGTTATCTGTGGCTTGTTCTGCTTCTCTGATCTTCCAGCATTCACCCCAATAAATGGCACCAGGTTTGATTTTATTAATAAGACCATTTAAGATTAATGTTACAGCTCAGGAGTGCAGACAGCTGAGAAGAGACCTGCAGCTCTCCCACTGCTGGGTGTGAGGCATCACTGAAGGAATCCTTTATTGTGGAAAGCTCATCTAACAGCACAGTGGCATAGGGACGGTTCTGGGGTTGTCAGTGTGGTGCAGAAGTGGGTCGATCTCTGGGACAGCCAGAGCTCATAGAGAGACTGTATCTCAAACAACAACAAAACAAAAACCTATGCAGGTCACTCACTGTCTTTGTCCCCGAGGAGTCCAGGTTTGCTATAACTTGGCCAATTAAAATCAGTCAGATCTTTAATATCTAGTTCCCTTGCTTATGGGAGACACTACATTTTCTACCTTTAGATGCTGGGAAATTAACTTAAGGCTTTCTACATGCTAGGCAAGCCTTCTGGCACTCATTCAGGAAGTATATGGAAGTCTTCCTCTCCCCTTATTGATTCACAATCCCACAGAACTCTTCAGACTGTAGGTTCTACTCCCTCAAGTCTCGTCCTCCCGGCTTGCCTGCTCAGGTCACGGATACTCCGATCTTGAGATGAAGCATTTCTTAATGTTGCTAGATACGTATAAACTAATAGGAAGGAGCTCCCTCTGAAAACCCATGCTGAACAGGCGACATGGTAACGTCAAATTTGCTCTGATTACTTCTGTATCTGGTAGCATAGATCAGGACATGCCAATGATGATGTCTGGCAGTCTGACTACCTTCCTATGGAATGAACTACCAACTGAAGCAGGCTTCTTCAGCTTCAAGAAATGTCATCTCCCAGCTCTGGTCTGGTTCAGTTACTCTGAAGTGACTATTGCTAATGGAAGAAATAACTAATAGCCTAAAATACTGGTCAAAATCTCAGTAAAAATGTAGTTTTTCACTCATAAGTCAAGGGTAGTCACACAGTATGACTGATGCCTAGGAAAATGGATTCAGCGAGTGTTTAAAATACTTTGCTGACAGAAGTCACATGAAAATGCAGAGGATATGGCAGCTCCTGTTGTTAAGATCTATGACTATACTGGAGGTCAGCCCATTTAGAAAATGCTTTACTACATGCATACTGGAAGTTATTCTACTTACATAGCCTTTGGGAACCCATCTCATCCTAAACAATGCACTACTTATATACTTTTGTATATTTCTCTGGTAAAGCAACAGACTGTTTGCCATATATAATTTAAAATAGTCATTTTTCTTCTTAAAGTAATTAAATGTTGCATTTGAAAATTTTTTAAGAGTAAAAGAATGATAAGTGGCCTTTTTATTTTTAGAGGCTTACTGGTGGTTTAGAAAACACCATTAATGCACTCTATTAAGATTATAACTGAGGTTGTGATCATTGGTGATACCCAGAGCCACCTGAGAAAATGTCCCGTGAGAGGAGATACACTTAGGCCGAGGCCTAGAATTAACAATTCAGATGCTGCCCAACCTTGAGATGATGGTAATTTCAAAGAGACTGGCTTCAGCATAAAAGTATTCTCATTTCATTCTTCCTATCTGGAGAATGCAGTCACACTAAAAATAACAACACCACCAAGCTTAAAACTGGCAAATTATCAGAACTATCAGTTAATAAATCCGCTAAATCCTCAGTCTGACCGTGTTGGGGAACGTCGCTGCAAGCCACAAACAACAGTGGACAGTTCAGCCTCTCAGGCAGACAGATGGCTACTGGTTTTAGTCAGTTCTCAGTGAAAACCTTTGCACATGGATGTTTTTAATGAAGGAAAAATTAAGCAAAATAATTGAGATTATACTGCTTAGTAGAGATGAATCAACAGGTTGTCCAAGTCAGATATTTGGCCAACCCTTCCTGGTTCCCCACTGTAAAATCACGTAAGTCTTCACTAGTTCCATTAGTTATATAGTGATGACTTCTTGTGTGTCACCTGTATGGCTTCTTGTTTCCCCCAATTCGGCCTTAGAGGGCTTTTTATAAAATCCTGAGTAACTGGATTTATGTTGACGTCTTTGATCCACTTGGATTTGAGTTTTGTGCATGGTGACAGATATGGATCTATTTGTAATCTTTTACATATT